CGGGCAGCGCCCCAGCTGTTCTGTCCCAGGCTCCAGATTCAGCAGCTGTTGAAACTGATCAGGCTGATTCCAGGAAGCTGGGGGCAGAGCAACTCTGCCTCTGGCTTCCTGTAGTCAGCCCCTGGTCAGTTTCGGTGGCAGCAGCTGAATCTGGAGCCAGTTCCGACTTACATACAAATTCAACTTAAGAACAAACCTATAGTCCCTATCTTGTACGTAACCCGGGGACTGCCTGTACTAAAATACTTTGAAAAATATATATATTGCAGGGCTGCACCCCCTGCTCAAAATGCTCACCAGACCGTATAGTTTGCCAGACCAGGGAGTGCTGATTGAGAGAGGTTCAACCTGTCATACCATCACAGAAGTAGTGATATCAGCAATCCTAAGAATCATGCAAAGCTTTCTAGGATCAAATCCCATTCACTTTTAGAAACCCTCAGTTAATTTTCCTATTCTCCACCTTGAAAAATGAATGTGATTCTTTGCAATCTGAACAATTTTACCAGTTTGCCTCCTATTAACCTAGAAGCCTGATCCTTTCTATATTGGAATGGGGCTGCGGATGCGAGTTACAGCAAAACTTTACTCAGGCAAAACCAAGGCAATTTATACTGAAATTCGTGTATATATTTTCTGTCTGGAGTCTAAGTAATTGAGAAGGCATAACCAAAAACAGAGCATATTGAGAAAAATTGAGACCACCATAACCTAAAAAAACCAGTATAAGCAATTGCTATAAGTATCAAAGGATGTAACTGAGACAGACCTAAAAAAAACAACCAACCAAAAAGATTTTTTGGAGAATGTTGATTATTTTTGATGACCTAAATGGATGAAAATGGTTTCTTAGACAAGCTGTTAAGAATTAATTATATTTCTTTAAGCTAAAATTCATTGATTACATTCAGCATTTGCATCATACCAGGTTATGAGTTATGAGCAATAATAGCAAACAATATCTTTGGATAATAAAGTATACACAGTGGAGTTGTATATTATGATGCATAGGGCCATATTCTGATTTCAGTGAAGGCGAACCAGTTTATAACAGCAAAGAAATCTCCACATAGAATTTAAACTTCTGTGGTATAAAAACCATAATAGCAGGAGATGTGTCCATGCTATATATGTCAATTGTATATTATAATGCTCTTTATAAGAACTTTAAAATCCTTTGAAAAGAAAGAGGAGCAAATTTAAAGAAAATCATATTTAAAGCACATAAGCAAATATAAACTTCAAATATTATGATGAAAACTTTTACTTAGGCTGACTGTACAGCCAAACAGAAACTACAGCACAAATGAAAGCAGCTGAAATTTTGCACTTTCATGTGGGATTGTTAAATCCAGAAATCCTTTTTCTACAGAACCATCATGATAATAACAGTGGTGCTTGCCTTGCTAATGATGTACAACAACATTTGAAAAATCAAAGACAAATGTTCCACCAGTGACATATTTCAAAAAAATATTTGGCTATTTGAACAATATTTCACAAGCAGATGTTTGCTTAATGCCACTTAACCTACATGGTAAAAAACACATGTCACAGAGTTCAATATAACTTCTAGATCCTAATGTGTGGTAAATAACACAAATTTAAAAATGCAGACATTCATCATCAATCCACAAGGGTTACATAGATAGATAGATAGATAGATAGATAGATAGATAGATAGATAGATAGATAGATGTCTCAAAATTTAAACAATAACTTCAACGAGATGGATCTTTTCCTGTAGGTTATATAAACATAAATAATCAGTTGTCCACTATTGGCCTCATCCTTCTAGATCTTATGAAGCAATAATCTATCTTGTGATGCTATAAAATTTTCCATTCTTGGCAATTTCATTTTTATATTTTTGTTTAACATGAGTTCAGGATTTCCACAAAATGCTTGATTAACCCACATACTTATCATAATCAGAAGTTATATCTCCAAATCAGCCAAATAATTTTGGGGTAAAGACTAAACAAAGGTATAGAAAAATATTCTAAAAAAAGCAGTGGTTTCAAAACTCCACTTTAGATCATATAAACTCATACTATAAATACTGTTTATTATACCATATGAGCCTGAGCCAAAGCCTATTGATATCAATGAATAGACTCAGAGGCTACAATGGGTTTAGAAGGCCCTAAATATACATACAAATTAATTATATATTGGCTGCAATGTAAGATCATGTCATCACTCAGTGGAAGATCAATGCTGCAACAATCAATCTTCCGAAGTTCAATTTAGTGAGTCTAGTTAAGACCCACTATATCAAACTCAGAGGGCGCCCTCATTAGCGACCATTACTCATGCTCCTGCAAGGAGTAAGGGAAGCCAATGGAAGCATTTTCTCCCATCAGCCTCCTGATGGGAGGATAGCAGGGAAACGCAAATCAAGGTTCATCGACTCCATCTGTGTATTTAACATAGATGGAGTTGTGTATCATGATTCAACTTTCCTTTTTAGTGTAGACCTGGCCTTAAACATATATGTTTAACTACAGATGGCATGGTGAAGCAAGAGACTTCATGATGAGGAGGCATAGATCTCGGGAAAATAGTTCTGTCCCTATATCTATGAATATCTCACCCAACAGTTCATAAAATCATAGAATAATAGAATATTAGGACTGGAAGGGACCTCGAGAGGTCATCGAGTCCAGTCACCTGCCCTCATTCCAGGACCAGTCTAGTACTGTCTAGACCATCCCTGATAGACATTTATCTAATCTACTCTTAAATATCTCCAGAGATGGAGATTCCACAACCTCCCTGGGCAATTTATTCCAGTGTTTGACTACCCTGAAAGTTAGGAACTTTTTCCTAATGTCCAGCCTAAACCTCCCTTGCTGCAGTTTAAGCCCATTGCTTCTTGTTCTATCCTCAGAGGCCAAGATGAACAAGTTTTCTCCCTCCTCTTTATGACACCCTTTTAGATACCTGAAAAACTAATTCTATCTGTGAGCTCCCTCATCAGCTCAGCCCGGGTGGTGAGAAGAGCTATTTCATATGCATGTGTGGGGGTCATATTTGCCCCTGCTCCTCCTAACCTCCCTATCCTATGAGCCCCTAAACCTACCTCCTCCAGTTTTGAGAGCACGGTATTCAGACTGTTCCAATGCCACTCACTCAAACTTGTCCTGGCTTCCCCTCCATTATGATAGCGCTGACATCAAATTCAAGTGATAGAGTGGCACTCAGGCCAAATTTGAGCGAGTGGTTTGGCAAATTAGCTAGTGGAATCACTGTGCCTACAAAAGCTCGTGATGCCATCTAAGTGTTTTGTTAGTCTTTACGGTGCTACTAGATTATTTGTTGTTTTTTAGTTTTTCCAGTTACAGACTATCTCGGCCACCCCTCTGAAGCTTTTGAGCATGAATCAGGTTTGGCTGGGCAAAAAGTTGTCAGGCCATGGCCCTTGTGATGCCTTTCCTCCATGTCCTAAGATTCAGCCCATCTTCAAGTCAGCCTATTCCAGCCTCACCTCTGGTTTTCCTGGAGTTCTTCACTGCCCTCAACAAGGCAGACTAATGGCGGAAGGGACATCTCCAAGGGTATGTCATCCCCTCCATCTCCTTCCCAAGCGGGTGCTGCAAAGCATAGAATGTTGAAAAGCATAGTCAGTATGCTTCTTCTTATCCCTGTTGCCAACAGGTGGGAATATAGTTGCACAGAGCTGTTGAGCTCTTTTTGCTCTGCCCTTGCCTTCTTTGAGGATAGCAAGTAGAGGGGAGAGAGGCTCTGCTGATTTCCAGCAACGCTGAACTTCATCAGAGGACTGGAGCTTCTCATGCCATTGGAAAATGAGCCAGCAACCCATCACTCACAAAAAAAGATGGCTATACACACAGCTTACAGTGTTTGACTTTGTAACCTTAATTTTCTCCTTACTTTTTAATGTATTGCGTGTGTTTGTATTTGTGCATATTGTGTGTGCATGTATTTAAAAAAGTATTAAATAGCAGGAACACATATACAAGGATGATACACATTTCAGAATGTGCCCTAAAAGTCAATACTGCCCAGAAGCATACGCGGAACAATTATGACAAAACTCACAATGGTTCTATGCTATCCCTTTGCTTTGGGAGCAGATTGCTTCTCTACATGATTGCTCAGTTCTGCAGGCTAATACATTGAGAAAGTCAAAGCTTTGACCATCCCTCACTGCTGTTTACATACCATTCACTCATGCAGATTTGAAGGATCAATAGTGACTCCAAAGAAGCTTCTTTACCATTACTTATGCTCATTTTATGCCTTCTTACTCCTTTGTATGGTACAGAAGACAAGAGATAATCTTGTCCTTTAATGAAAAATAATACTTTTGGAGAATTTTTAAAAAATCTGGATGATCCTATAGCAGACAAATAATTCTGTTTAAAAAATGTTCAACATGGCTTAAATTCTATGATAAGAATATTAATTTATTAAACTCAATAGTTATTTTTAAATATAACTTCTATTCAACCCTATTGGTTTAATCCATTTTAATATCCATAGAACTTTTCAGAAGAGGAAATAGACTATAAAGAGATGTGACATTATCTCCTTAACTACCATTACTGATTTGTTATGGCTTTAACATATTTGTAATTAATTATCATTTTACAATGATAATTGTACAATTATCATATTATTTTAAAATATCAAGAGCCAAAAGTAATAGGATATCAATAAATCCAACTGGTTTTATGTGTATACATTAGACTTACACTATTATTTTCTTAATGTATTATACTCAACTTTTTTGGCCTTCATAATAAACTGTATTTATTGACACATCTATGGGTATGTCTAGACTACATGCCTCTGTCGCCAGAGGCATGTAGATTAGGCTACCAGACATAGTAAAACGTAGTGGCGATTTAAATAATCGCCACTTCATTTAAATTTACATAGCTGCCGCGCTGAGCCGACAAACAGCTGATCAGCTGTTTGTCAGCTCAGCGCGATAGTCTGGATGCGCGGGTGTCGACGTCAAAGGTATTTGTTGACCACCCAGGTAAACCTCATCCCAGGAGGCATACTTGGGTGGTCAACAAATACCTTTGATGTCGACACCCGCGCATCCAGACTATCGCGCTGAGCTGACAAACAGCTGATCAGCTGTTTGTCGGCTCAGCGCGGCAGCTATGTAAATTTAAATGAAGCGGCAATTATTTAAATTGCCGCTTCATTTTACTATATCTGGTAGCCTAATCTACATGCCTCTGGCGACAGAGGCATGTAATCTAGACGTACCCTATTATATGTTTTGAAGAATTTGTTTGTGGATTTGTTTGTGCAAAATAAAGACATATTTCATGATTTCCTACAGATACCAAATTTTGCATAAACTGTCTTGCCACTGAAATTAGCTGAATGCACTACTTTTTACATCAGAATATGCTGGGTGAATGTTTAATTAATTATTTTTGTTTTTCATTAGAAAAAAAGTCATGACTATTATGATTAGAGTTCATAACAATATTTGCTAACAAAATAAAAATGAGTCACCTATTCAACTGTCATTTTAGTTCAAAGAAAATGTTTACTGTTACAAATCACAAAATCATTCAAATTAGTTTCAGAAAGAGCAATGGAAGCTTTGTGAGTTTCTGATTCAAATGTACTATGGTAATTGTTCAATCAAAGGAATAATGTTTGAAGTTGAAATGCCGCAAATTTAAAACTGTTCTTTTACTTACCTTTTGCAAGCACATTAATAAATTCTATTACATATATTTAATTTCTTGAACTTTCTTATAAGTGTCGTCTGTGCAAAATGACTTTGGCCAGTAAATGATGGGCCTCATCGACTAGTACTATATAATTTTTTCAAAGCCCATTAATGAGACACTAGGCAATAATTTAACCCATGTCTTGGAAATAATTCACATAAAACTTTAAAAATCCCTCTTAATCCCTCATAGTCAGTACAAAAAGAATGTTGACAGATGTCCGGTTCATATTTATTGAATAATTGATTATTTGTGGAAAGACAACAGAAAAGACTGCCTCTGTCTGAGAATACTGCAAGTTTCTTTTTTCATAACAAAACCATCTTTTCCCCCTTCTCTGATACCAAAGATTTTCATGCATGTAAATGATTTTGTGGGTCTTGGCCTTGCTTTTCTTTCTACTACTCATTGTATAGCTTGTTGACACTTACTTACTTTATTAATGATTTGGGGAAAAGAGCCATTCAGTTTACTGGGAGATCCTTGTATCCCTAAATAATATTAGAGTACTTTTTTATCTAACAGGGGAACTGTGATACCTCACATACAGGAGGGTAGTTCAGCGGGTAAACACACAGGATATGAATGAACTATTTATTGTCTATCTATTATTAAGGTGGATTTCCTAAAAAGAATGAATGTGAGGGAACCTATAGTATACATTTTTATATGAGTCAGTGCCTTTATCAGAGAACATTTTCAGCGTTTACTTGTAAAAGGTAAAAATATACTTTGTACCTAAACCAAAAATTCCTTTCCTTTGTTCCTCAAGTAAAAAAAAAAAAAAAAAAAAAAAAGAATTTTAAGTATGCGTTAGCACATAGATAGATAGATAGATAATTTTTTCCTTTTCTTCTCATGCTGTAACTGCAGGACAGAGTTAAGATGATGTGGTTACCCTAAATGTGCATTTTCATACCTTTACATCCATATTTAGATGTCTTTGAGTGTAAGTTTATTTCTGAAATTTCCTGGATTTGTAATTTTGGGATTTGGAATACCTTCAACTTCCTTGTAATGGTTAACATACCTACATGAGGTCCTGGAGTAGGTGGGGATTATAATACACATTTTTTAAAATAATAATGAACACATTGTTCTTTAGGAGCCAAGGCAATATGCTTATGCTCTATATAAATTTAGGTTTGGTTTTAAATTTTAAATTTCCAATTAATTTTTATTAGGGTTATATCATGATCAAAAATAATTTCAGTTAACTGCGAGATTAAAAATAGTGATGAATCAATTGTAATGTCACTGTTGAATAAGAAAGGAATACCAGTGTTATAAATATATTTGAATTATTTCAACAAATGAAATGGGTATCTGAACATTTAGCGCATAAATACCTTGTAACATTGGCTATAACCATGCCATGCAAATTGCTGTTCTTATTTTCAGGTGCTATAAATAAGAAGTAGGTAGCATAAGCTCCTATAAATGTAAACTACTGTGTATTGTCTTAGGGTATGTATACACTACATTCCTCTTTCGAGAGAGAAATGCAAATTCAGACAAATGAAATTGAAAATGAAGCGTGGATTTGAATTTCCCCACGTCATTTGCATAATCGCGTCTGGGCACTATTTCGAAATACCCTATTTCGAAAAAAGAAACGCTGTCTAGACACAGTTAGTTCAAAAGAAAAACCTTCTTTCGAAATTACCCTTACTCCTTATAAAATGAAGCTTAATGGATTCAATTATGCAAATGAAGCATGGGAAATTTAAATCCGCACTTCATTTGCAATTTCGTTTGTCTGCATTTGCACTCCTCTCTCGGAAGAGGAATGCAGTGTAGACATACCCTTAGAGATTTGGCTGAACAAGGAGTAGGTCTGAGTGGGCTTTGCATATCTTTTTTATTATGTAAGTTACAGTTCATGCAGAATAACTTCCACTACTCTGATCAAGCTGTTGGACTAAAAATAGAACTGTACTTCTGATAGTAGGACTGGTGAGATGGGCTAATTACCAGAGTATGATTCCTTATGTCACCTAGGGGCTGCTGACTTATTCCAGTTCCCACATAGCTATATCCTACATTTCCATTAAAACCTTTTCATCTTTAGTTCCTACTGCTAAAACCTTATTCCATTGAATTGGTCAACTTCTGCCATAATTTTTTTGCCTCTGGTCCTGTTATAACACTTGAATTAAGACGATCCTCCATAATTATATCCAATAGAATGATTCCATTTCTATTTCTGCATCAATTTAGAGTTGTAAACTTTCCTGACAATTTCTACACTTCTGTAGTGCAATTGCTAGTAAGTGTATCATACATTTGATTTAGACCCAATCCTACAAATGAGCTAAAGAAAATATGGCACAGGATATAGAATTTTACCCTTTCACCATTGCCTCTCCCCTCTTTAGGCAAAAGTTTGACAATGTGATTGAGAAAAACAGTTCATTGCAAAGAGAGTTTCATTTAGCTAATAAGATTTTGTTTTAGAAAGGCTAAAAGCAATTAGAAATCATATGCTTTACTGTATCATCTTAATGCCCCCTGATATTTAAACCTTTTTTCTTCCAGTAAACACCATGGCTGTGTCTACATTGGCATCCCCTTCCAGAAAAGGGATGCTAATGAGACCAGTTGGAATTGCAAATCCACGGGAGGTACCAGATGCCATCGAAAAAAGTACTGTAATTGATTTTATTCGCAAAGTATATGCCCATTGCTCTCATTTGGACACTTTAAACCCAGTATCTAGTTGGTGGTCTGGCAAGTGATATAGGATTTCTGTAGTTTACAGACCCCCATGGTATAAAATTAGTTAGTAGGGAATAATGACCCATTTTAGAAGCAAAATACAAACTGACAAAAAAAAATTACTCATTTTAAAACCGAAACTGGACCAAACTTTTTATTGAGGTACAAAAAGTTTTATAAAATTTTTAATGCTGTCTATACTTATACACTACTTCTTGATGACTGTCAAAAGACCAGAAGTTCAAATACTGAAATACTCCCAAAAAATCCTCTAGGAATCTTTAAGGCTATAGTCACGTATTACTTTCAGCACAATCCAACTGATCAAGGTAGCACTTAAACCTTAGAGGGCTTATTCAAACCAAGGGGGAAATTTTCTTGCACTCCTTGTGAAGATTTTTAGGTTTATACATCATTGGATGTTGGACTGTTTGCTAAAATATAGAACGACTGTACTTTTGTCTTTCTGAGCTTTGAACCTTAAAAACCAGGCTTATGTATTGGATGTAAAGAGCCTGCAGGTAAAGAATCTTATGAACCTTGATCTAGTGGTTTAGACTTAGTTCCTCACACCCAGACTCTTATGTCCATCAATGAAACTCAGGTACAAAGGTACATGCACATCAAAATGATTGAAGGATTGGGACCACACTTTGGGAAGGGGTACAGGCAAACCTCTGCTTCTACTCAGTCATATCTCTGGCTACGTCTACACTGGCATGATTTTGCGCAAATACTTTTAATGCAAGAGTTTTTGCGTTAAAGTATTTGTGCAAGAGAGCATCTACACTGGCATGTGCCTTTGCACAAGAGATGTGCTTTTGCGCAAAAGCATCCATGCCATTGTAGATGCTCTCTTGCGCAAGAAAGCTCCGATGGCCATTTTAGTCATTGGGCTTTCTTGTGCAAGAAATTAACATTGCCTGTCTACACTGGCCACTTGCACAAGAATAGTTGCGCAAGAGGGCTTATCCCTGAGTGGGAGTGTCAGAGTATTTGTGCAAGAAGCACTGATTTCCTACATTAGAACGTCAGTGTTCTTGTGAAAGTACTCGCAGCCAGTGTAGACAAGTGTTAAGATTTTGTGCAAAATCTTGCCAGTATAGACAGAGCCCAGAGTTCAGATCTTTGCATCTGTAAATATAGTGTTGGAGCTGCTTCATATTTCTCCTTAATGTACACACACACATTTCTACAAATTCTTCCTCTATGTTTCTGTGGAAGGTTGCAATATGAAGCATCACTTTGTGACTCACCTGGTATGCAGAGTACATACCTCTGTATAACATATGCCCATGCACAGCAGAACTACTTAATATGGTCTGAATAAAGATCATGTCTGTCATTGCACCAAGTATATAGCTGTAGATAATTGGAAAGTTACTCAAACTCCAATTCTTGACACTTAAAGAATTTCCAGTTTGTAGATCAGTGACCTGAAAGATTGCAGTACGGTAACTCTGAACGAGCAGCTCCCAGTGCTAAATCTAGCTGAAAAATTCATGACATGTTCAATTACATAACTAAGTGCACTTTCCCACTAACTGATTTGTAACAAGACTGACTCATTTCAGATTTTTCAAAATAGCAAAATCAATTATTCCAAATTAGAGTGATTACTGGAAGAATTATAGTAAGAAGGGTTTTCATGTTAAACAAGCACAGGAAATGGCTTGGGTTTTTTTTAGAATGAACTAGAGGTTTTTTTACCCATATCATCTAAAAAGAGATTTCTTATCAGCTTCATCCTTTTATTCCAATGCATTAAACAGAAAATATTTTAAAAGAATATATTTGCACTTGTATACCACCTTTCAGTGAAGGATGTCAAAAGACTTTGAAAATATTAATTCAGCCTCATGGATCTATTTTTTTTTCAGATGAATAAACTGCCAGGGTTTCTTTTCCCACATAAAATTTCAACTTAAACAAAATTAAATAAAAAAAATCCATATACTTTCATCTGAAAACAAATTTTTTCAGTTTGTAGATGGTACCTTTAGATGATGAATTCTCTACAATGGGGTGGGTTGACCAGTTGGACTATGTCACTCATGGTAAACTATGATCTTTTTTCCTCAGCCACTCCTCTGCATCACAGGAGAGGTAATTTAGCTGGGGCATCCAGCCTACAAAGTTTAATAGGAGTATCTGAATCCCAAAACACAACTCCTAAAAGGTATTTTCAAATTTATTTTTTTCAAATGTTTCACTTTTCATGGGGAAAAAAATGAAAATTTCTTCAGTCAGACACTTTCATGTGTGTGTGCTTGTGTTGATGGAAAATTTTTAACCAGTCCTAACAAATACAAAGATATTAGCAACTTGTCTATATATGCGCACTAGGTCATTGATTGATCAGGTGTATGAATTTAGAAGTTCTCTCTTTGCACCACCTCATCTAAATACATTATATTCCTTGATGTGCAAATTATTAAATGAAAACTTTTAATTATTTCAGGCTAAATTTTATCACCAATGTATTGTAATCATGGAGTTTGGAATGGTACTGCTTTCCAGTCCTGCATGTAGCCAACACCCATGTGCACAAACCAGGAAGGAGTGAGCAAGTGCATATTTTAAATCTATGAATATATAATAATAATTAATAAAACAGCACTGCAATTAGGCATATCACAAACACTGGTCCCCTGCCAGCTGCCCATTACTGCCATACTGATTGGCAACCATTTACAAAAATTCCCCTGTTGTTCTCTTGTAAGCTGTGCAAACTAGAAATTTACACAGTGAATAAGACAAGATTTCTCAAGATAGCACTTCTAAAGCATTTGCTTTAATTACATAAACTGCACCTGTTTACCCCACTTTCAACTGTGCATTTCTCTTCATGCAACAATCGAGAAAATGAATGGTGAGGATGCAGAAGAATGGCTGCAGGAATCTCAAGTAACCCATGCAATATGCCTTCTTACTTAGAATAGTATAGTATCATGAGTTTTCATGGGCAAAACCCACTTCTTCAGATGAGATGATCTTGAGTGTATTTACTTGTTTGCCTAGAACATCACTATTACCCAGCAGACATATTCCAGTATATGTCAATTGTAGCATCAACGCTAATGAGGCTGAGTGGGCTGTGAGGGTGTATCTATACCTTATCCTTATCTCAAAACAAGCTACGCAATTTGAGCTATGCAAATTGCGTAGCTTATTTTGAAATTTGTTGCTGTCTACACATGGCCTAAGTAAAGTTTACTAGATTAGCAACTTAAAAAAAAACCCCAAAAAACCAAACTTGTACAATGAGTGTATTTTGTTATGGAACATTACCAAGGGATGATAACTATAAATCTGCACAATACCATTTTTGAAGTGTCACTTTAGCGTATCTCTACACTTCAGGCCTAATCCGATGTCCACTGAAGATAATGAAAGGACTCCCATTAACTTCAATGAGCGTTGAATGAAGCCCAATAAAACAATAGATAATGCAATCATACAAGATATATAAATAAGATGAAGCTTCTTGTTAACATGAAGAGAAGTAGGACTTGAGATATTGAACATGAGATTAAGAAAAAATAATGGAGAACCTCAGGTTCTTGGGCCCTGCTTATAACTGAAGGGTGCTGCCACTACAATTCTTTGGCATAGATATATGTGAGGAGGTGTTCAGACAAAGAAAAAGCAAGCAAAATCTCTATATGTGAAATCTAGTACAAATTCTCAAAGAATTCTTTTCAAATGAAAAAAAAAGATATTATTGGCTTTGATTACACTTTGTCTCTCAGTGATATTTCATATCAAATACACTGTGGTTACGTCTAGACTGGCATGATTTTCAGCAAATGCTTTTCACAGAAAAGTTTTTCCATTAAAAGCATTTGCAGAAAAGAGCATCTAGATTGGCACGGACACTTTTGCGCAAAAGCACTTTTGGCGGAAAAGCGTCCGTGCCAATCTAGACGTGGTTTTGCGCAAGAAAGCCCCGATCGCCATTTTCACCATCGGAGCTTTTTTTGTGCAAAACAGTTTTTAGCTGTCTACACTGGCCCTCTTGTGCAAAAGCATTTGCGCAAGAGGGCTTTTTCCCGAGCGGGAGCAACATAGTATTTGCGGAAGAACACTGACAGTCTTACATTAGATCGTCAGTGTTCTTGTGCAAATTCAAGCGGCCAGTGTAGACAGCTGGCAAGTTTTCCCGCAAAAGCAGCTGTCTACACTGAATAAGTCATTTTTTTCAGTTGCTAATCTAGCAAACTTCACTCAGGCCATGTCTTCACTTGTTGCACTAGAGAGTGATCTTCTGGCATTTGATTTAGTGGGTTTAGTTAAGACCCACTAAACTGAATGCTGAAGGTGGCTCTGGTCAACACCAGTACTCCTCATAGTTGCAAGGAATAAGGAAAGCTGATGGGAGTATTTGTTCCAATCAGCCTCCCTCTGTGAAGATGGTACCAAGTTTGTCTTACGGTAAGCCAACTCCAGCTATGTATTGCATACATTAAACAATGCGTACATTAAACTAGCATTCCAGGTCTAGTGTAGACCTGGCCTCAGAACTGAAAAGCAAGATGGATTACTTCTTTCCTAATCATCGGGACCAATAACAAAGTTTAAAGCAGACTTTTAATTACAAATGTGTAAACCTACTATTTTTCTTTGGTGTGTACAGATGTTGTTGACTAGAAACAAGTTAACAATTGTATCAATGGCCACAATAAGCAACAGAATTCAGTTTCCTCCCTCCTAAATATATTGGCTCAGCATGACCAACAGAAGTATAAAGTGGTGGCAGCAATCCGCATGACGTGCTACAGGTAGCACATATTCTGAATATACTCAGGGAGCAAATCTTTGAAAAAAGAAGGTGCCAGACCCTCAAAGATCTTTTGCAGGGCAGAACTACATTACTTTAACTAGTCACCTGATAAAGCACCCATACATGCAAAGAGATGCATTGACTTCAATTAACGTAAGAACATTAGGGTATATAGAGTCACATATCACACATTGGTTAAGTGATTTCAGTTAACTGGTTTCTCATAAATTCACTGTGACATCAAACTTCTAATATGTATCAGTTTTTATTACCTGGATTAGAATTTAGTGTTACATAAGAAATGATAGAAAACAAAATAAAGATGGTTTCATGATTGTACTTCTAAAAAGGATGTTAAAACCCATAAAGTAATAAACCAAAGTGATTGTTCAAATTAGTCTATTGCACACTGATATTTGACACTATTCTCTGGAGGTAATTTTCCTACTAAAGCTCACAAAAGTCATTGCAAAAATTCTTAATGATTTTAGTGGACTTTGGATCACAGGCAAGCTGCTCCTTGTTTCTAGCTGCTTTTAGAGGTATCCTGGCTCTTCACTGAAAAGTAAGCTATAGATAACCTTAAAAGCAGCTGGAAAGTATGAGAAGAAGACTCTAACTTAACAGTGTCCAGGAGATGCTGCTGCTACATAAGAGGAAGACGTTCTTTTGAGAATGGATTCTAGCAGTGAGACTGGACCTGGAAGCCACTACACGTAAGAGGAATGCTTAATAGAAAAAGGAATGGGACAACTGGGTAGTATACATGGAAGATCAGAGAGAAAGAAGGGATTAATGAATCTGGTAGTGTGTGCAGAGAAAATGGAAGAGCAGGATGTGCAGAGGGAAGGAAGAGAATAAGGCCTGGTCTACACTAGGACCTTAGCTCAAAATTAGCCCCCCAAGTCACTTTTCTAAATGATGCATCCATACTGCTAAGCCCATTATTCCGGAATAAGGGGCTGGGGGATTCAAACTCTGTACTCCTGCTTTTCACAAAGAATAATGCTATTCCCAAACTCGTAGATCTGAAATAACATTAGTGTGGATGCTCCGGTGCCACTCATTCTACCTTACCTCTGGGAGGCCTTCCACAGCTCCCCAGAGTGCTTCCTGGGACTCTGAGGCCAATGCAGGCTCCATTAATGTGAATGCGCTACATTACATTCGATTCTTCCATGTAGTGAGTACACAGAACTTTGAATTTGTTGTCCAGAAGTCAAACTTAGTAAATTTGAAAAAAAATACCTAGTGTAGACATGGCCTAAGAGACGAGAGGGGAAGTATGAAGAGCAAAAAGTGTCAATGATTGAAATTCTGGCCCATCTGAAAGCAGTGGGAGTTTTCACATTGACTTCAATGGGGCCTGGAGTTCAAGCAGAGTAATTTAATTGGTATGAAAACAAACAACACAGCACCCTGAAGATAGCAGAAACACAGAAACACCTTCCTGTTATTTTTCCTTTTTCATGTCAATAACCTTTGTAGCAGCTACAGTGGCATTATGTAATTGTGAGTCAGAGAGGTGGTGACACATGAAGCAATCTGTTAATTAACATTATCCACTTAATGAAAAGTTTGACAACCTTTGCTCTAGGAAGAAGAGAAACTGTTCTGGATGGACTAAGAAAATGATATTTTTCCTTGCTTGTGAATTGTCCTATGCATCACTAAGGCACTGAGCCATTCTAGTCATGGTGTATAACTTGTTTTGTTTTCTACATTTTTAAGCTGTGCCAGTGCATTCAATTATTAAATCCGTGTCTAAATTTTCTTCAAACTTTTTTTCTATTAAAAGTCAGTTGAAGATAAAGAACAAATGCCTCGGGCATCAATTATTTATATTTCCAGCTTGACAAGCTATGATATGTATTATAGTCTGTAAGAAAATCTGTATTGGAATGTAGTATAGTTTACTAACATTTTGAACAAACTGAGTTTTGTAGATTACTTTAGGGGGTGGAGAAGCTTAATGGATTTCTAGCTTTAAAGTTCTGAATAATTGTACCTTTTTAAAATAAAATGTTCTATGCAACAACAACAAAATGAAACTATCTCAGCATGGAGAAATGTGATAGAATCTATCCTGGAATTTGATATTTCAAACTTAAATTCAAACATATCCAAAGGGGGTATAAACTCAACTAGCTTAACTCCCTCCTCCTAAACTAACACGAGACCATGCAATTAATCATTGTATCACAATGCACAACAATCTTTAACATAGGATATTTAATTTAATTTCCTACATTAAAAAACTTAAAACAGAAAAACAAGAAAAATCTTAGAATTCCCATGTTGTGGAACCATAATGAGAGCCTGAAAGACCAAATGTAGGGGAAGTCTTGCACAATCCATGTAGTCCTAGAATGATGCATACACAGTTGCTCTGTGGGGATGGTGAATCAGGGCATGCACACTCTGGTTACAAGCAGAGACTGTGAGGGTCTAGACAAAGGTCAGAGCAGATGGAATCTTCAAGGAATTTAGCACCGAATTCTACCAATGCTAGGTCCAAGAGGTCTTTGGATGAGCTTTTAACAGGTGCAAAACAATACATTAGTCCTTAAACTGATCCTAAAAACGGCTGAATCACTGTTGCTGGAACCTTCTTGACCCCTATTTTTTTCTCCATTTTGCTTCACTCCCATCCCAAAATAAATTAGCCTTGGGCAATCGACGAGTATGGAAAATGTCAGTGACAACTGTCTCCTAAGCAAAGTTCTAAGCAACTGAAAACAGTCTTGTTAGGGAAACTGTTAGTCAATCTTAATTCTAGGATAGGTGTTGCTATCTACAAAGTACCTATAATATAATAATTTTATAGACCTTTGATATATTAACTTGGAAAAGAGTGTGCTTATCATGTGGATGTAATCTGTAAAATGTAAAAAAGCCAAAAATTGACTGAGAATTTAAAAACTGGACATTCGTAGGCCACAAATCCCAGTGATGATGGAACCTGGAAGTATTTAAAACAAAAAGTGCCTCCAATCATGCGTATAGCTGTTCCCCTCACTTTTAGCTGACTCAACAGACATTGTAGATTTCAGACTAACAATTCTGGAATTTTATTACATAGATCATGTTTAATAAATGTTGAAAACACCACACTACAGTTTCGATCTTTAGTTTTACTGGGAGTCAGTTGAAAGTTCATCCTGACCAAATGTGTGTAACACATTTTGCCAATAGGCTGAAATAAAGATCATTGATACACTCATGTGCAGAACAGATATGGCAGGGCCTGCTTTGTAAGGACAGTGCTGATTTCCCCAAGGCACTGGCCTCTAATCTAGCCCAGTTATAGCCTTGTGGTCTGATGTGGTGAACACAGAGATAAATAGCTTTGCTCACACAGATAGCCACGCTGATTGCAGTGCATACAATCACTTGTGTGTACAGGTCTTCTGCAAAAATAACCAGTGCATACATCCAGAGAATTCAGAAATAATAATTCACAGTTAAATGCTGATTTTTCCTGTTCTGACAGGCTCTGAATGCTTCCCTGTAGTGAGATCTCTTTGGTATAGTTTAGAAATTCCTTTTTTAAGAGTCCATCATGGGTCCTCTGGAGCAAAGACTAATTTTTACTTTGTGTTTGTAATACAGTGATGGCAATTCCGAGCTCAGCTGAGGCCCATACCTGCTGTTGCTGAATATAAATATATGGTAATTATACTTTAAGACCATCTGACAACATCTGAAGAAAATTATATTAAAATATATTGTGATGGGTCATTTTAATAAATTACAAATTACAAATAAAGGGCCAGGTCCTCAACTGGTGGTATGAATTGGCAGAATTCCTTTGGTTTCAATGGACCTATGTCCATTTACAATATTGAGGATCTGGTCAATGTGCTGTACTATGCTCAATGCAGTATTTTAAGGCATATTATTTTCTTGTGACATTTTGATTATTTCACAGCTAAGTGTATGCTTGGAGACACTAACATATCACTCCACATCAAGCTGGATATTATGGTTGTATTGTAGCTTGTAAGGTGCAGTTAATTTAAGGCCTTGGTGTACATGCAGAGGGATTTGCCAGAGACATCACAACAGACTCTGCTACAATTCTTCAAAGGGCTCTAGGGCCATGTTTGCACTCTGCAGATCACCACTGCTGTGATCGATCTTCCAGAATTTGATTTAGCGAGTCTAGTTAAGATTTGCTAAATTGAACTAGAGGGTGCCCCCACCCACATTCAGTATTCCTGCTCCTGCAAGGAGTAAGAGAAGCCAATTGGAGCATTTGCTTTTGTCGGGCTCTTGCTGTGGGGACACCGCCAAACTCGGCTTAAGGTAAGCCAACTCCAGCTACATATTCTACCTTAAGATGAGCTGCTGGATCTAGTGTAGACCTGGCATAGAAGAATTCATGGCTCATTTAGAACTCTACTATTTCTGCAGAGCACAGGTGCTCCACTATTCCAGTCCACTAGTTGTGTTGTCCTGTCCTCAGGTGGCCAGCCCTATAGTGTCCACTACCAACAGTAGGGCTAAACTTTCTGTCATTGATTGCCTTACTGAGATAGAGGGGACCTCTACAGATCAGTGATAATATAATTTAACACTTTCTCTCCAGCCTTGCAGTCCCCTTAGGACACAATACTGCTCACTTACAGGCAATTACTCCCATAAGCAAAAAGTGTCATTGCTATTTTGCATTGCAGTCAGGTTGTGCTTAGCTTTTAGTTTCAGAAATGTGAATATTAAGTCTAAGCTATGAATGTGTGGGTGAAATGAAATTTTCTGTTATGGTTTTCCTCATACCTAACTAATGATTGACTGAAACAAATAGCAGCTTCCTCCATTTAGTCACCACATTTATATAGTGCATAAATAGACCTTCATTTGCAAGAATAATATGGGTATATGAGAATGTTACCTACAAAGGATGAAGAAAGACTCTGGATACAGAGAATATGCTCTGCTCTAGCTCTGCAAATTATTCATCTGTTAGGTATTTCTATTTGCTGCATTCTTGTTATGAACATGCCGTACAACTGACAAAAATGTATGTAAACAACTTTAGCACTAAGGTATTATCAGCTGAATGATGTATAATAGCTCAGAATAACATAAGTGCACATTTGCTGCACTACAGGCAATAGATGGCAGTCTTAATCCATTGTACTGAATATGCTGCAGAAATTTCAGCATCTCTTTCCCCTCCCCCAACAAACCACCCACTATCTTTCTATAGTTTTTAGGTCGCTGTATGAGCATATTTGGAAAGATCATTTTGAAGATATTCTCTTTCTACAAGACAGACTTGATTTACACCCTTCCCACCGTTCCCTGAAACTGCTTTTCAAGGTGAGGATTGACAGTGACAAGGAATAAACAGCTTAACCTCTCATGCAACTAGTTCCAGAGAGTGTTCTTAAGGTGAGTAACACTGTGGGCTTTATTACAGCATCAAGATGGCAACATGCAGATCCAGGTTGATGAATGAGGTCCTGGCCCCATCGGGCCCTCCCTTTGAGAAGCACAAAGAAATGTCACTTTGTGTGCAGTACAAGTGAGATCAGCTGTTGGAAGGACATACCGTTCACTCTGAGGATTCCGTCCCTATGGTCCTGGACTCTGTGAAGACATGACGATGGGGTCATATGTCCCCACACCAATGTGCTGAGGTAAAGATTCAAAACTAATTCAGCCTTCAGTTATGTTAGAGCACAAGGATCACAGAAAAACTATCTGTTGGAAAAGCACCCACTAAATAATGGTCTCAGGATCAATCATGCCCTACACCAACGGAGCTGCAGCTCTATAATTCAGAAGCAGCAGGAGAGGAAAAGCATCTACGAGTGTCACAGAAGCAGAGTGCCATCACATGGGGACCTGCAACTTCTCTGAGGGAAGAATTGCTGTGTGTGTTGTGCATGCAGGGAAAAGCTGTAACTGCTGTCTCCCCACTTCCTATGCAATAATGCTAAGAAAATGATTCTCCTTCCAAGACCTCTACCATGGATTTGTTCATGGGATAAATTGATTGGGATCCCCTCACGGGATTGCTGAGAGGCTTAACTAGTTAATTAACTAAACTTAAGGGCTGATACAGTAGGTACAAATTGTTTCACTGCAGGCTTTCTCTGCTCTGCCTGATGGTGCATTCACCTAAGGGAACAGAGACAGTCCTCCCTTTGGCTGTGTCCAGACTCAGGGGGTTTTTCGAAAAAAGTAGCCTTTTTTTGAAAATACTTCCCCTGCGTCCAGACTCAAGCCGCATTCTTTCAAAATTAATTTGAAAGAACGCGGCTTTTCTTTCGATGGCGGTAAACCTCAATTTACGAGGAAGAACGCCTTCTTTCGAAAGTTCCTCTTTCGAAAGAAGGCGTTCTTCAATGTAAATAGGGCGTCTTCGAAAGAGAGCATCCAGACTCACTGGATGCTTTCTTTCGAAAAAGCAAGCCGCTTTTTCGAAATTTCTCCATGCAGTCTAGACGCTCTCTTTCGAAAGAGGCTCTTTCGACAGATGCTTTCGAAAGAGCCTCTTTCGAAAGAAGCCTGCAGTCTAGACATAGCCTTTGTGTTTGCTAGAAAGGGTGATCACAAAGGGAGGTCCCCGAGGAGCCATGCCAGTGTAAGTTAAACAAGTATGTATTCAATCACAGTATATTCCACTCAGCCTCATATATGCCCCCTCTCAGCTCCAGATGTGTTTTGGGGAACATTTCTTACCCTTTCTCATCTGCCTATGGGTCCTTTCAAGTTCAGAGACCTGGCACTAGGTTCGGTGCTGGCAGGAGTTGGTGCAAAACTTAGATACATTTTTCCAAGATCACTTAGAAAATGTAAAACAACATATAAAGAGCAAGTATGGCTGTGATTGCTACCAGAAACCCCATAAAGATATGGATCCTCTGCTGACAGTATTGCACAGAATGATACAATCTAGCATGCCTTTATCAACAAGCACCTAGGGATTTTGCAGAAAGAAACAGATTTTTATAAATGTTGAAGTTGGTGCCAAGTGCCAAAAGGACAATGAGGTGAGTATTAAAGAAGGGGAGCAGCAGTAAATCAGTGTGTTTCAAGGTTTGAATTGCAGGATGAGCCTCTAAAATCTGGGACTCTCTAGTCCAGCAACATCCATGGTCTGGGCTGGTGGTAGAGAGCGCAGCCTCAGTGCATCAGCACCATGGGGAGCACAGGCCTGGCCAGGGAGAGGCAGTGGGGCCCGTGGCCAAGAGTGCAGCCCCAATTGGTGCTGTGAGCAGCTGGGTGGTCCCAGTCCTGGCTGGTGTAGTGAGGGGGAGGGAGACTGGAAGCAGCAGAGCAGGTGGCACGGAGCACAGCCCCAGCTGGGAGTAGAACCCTACACCCAGGTAGCGAGTCTTGGCCTCTCCTTGTCCTGCAAATTCTGCGGTTTGGGACCATTCAGGTCATGAGGGTGCTGGACAAGGGAGGTTGAACCTGCAGGGTTTTTTATTATGGTAGCCCACTTTCAATAACACTTCGATGTTCCTCCCTCAGTAATGTTTCTGGGTCTTTGCTGTTATGGTCCTGTTTAGGTAGCATTCCACCTTAAATTACAAGAGTCAGCTGTTCAAAGAGAACACTGTTTATTCTGTGAATTCAAATCTTGTGCTTCTTGCGAAGTGTCCCGCTACAGACCAGCCTTCCCACACACGCTGAACATTTTGGATTCATGGTTCCCAAACTTTTACAAAGGTGATCCACCAACTGCACTTTGTCTTTGTGTTGTTCTTGGGTTGTCATGGTGGTGGGGAGGATGGCCCAAAATCACAGACCAACACCCTCCTCTGCCACTGCCGCATCCTTGCTCTGCCAAAGGGACACTGATTAGTCATCACAGGCCCTGCTGCCCTGCCACCACTGCTCCAATCCCAGCTCCGTGTGGAGGATAGGCACCAGGTGAGTTTGTGGAAGAGTGAGGCTTCTTCACATACATCCTGCAGCAGTGGGTCCTGTGACAGGAGGCTGGGACTGGATCTCTATTCTGCACTTTATAGCCTGACACACAGGGGGCAGTACCACTCACATGTAACCCGGCTACCCTCCATCACGAGAGGGGGTGGCTGGGTCAAATTTCAGTGAGTGGTGCTATAACCTGGCATGCAGGGCTGCAGCACCATTCAGATCCAACTTGATGTTAGTGGCATGTCAAGAAGAAAATTCCCCTGCAGAAGGAGTAGCTGTGGAGAACTGAATAGTCTGTCTCACTAGATATCTATTTCTCTGTGTATAGACCAAGCTAACAATATAGCATCATTTATAGACAGAAGAGAACAGTGCCTATCAATAAAGTAACTTTAAAAATCGATGAATAGTCCTGCAGCAATTTAGATACTAACAAAAAATGAAGAATATATCATAAGCTTTTGTGGGCTCAACCCCCTTCTTCAGATGACAGTGCCTGTCAATGTTCAATGATATAAATTGTAGTGTAAGAGGCTTGGGAGAGATTACTCAGAATGTGTGAATTTTTCAGTGTGATACAGAAGAGGAGAAGTATCTTTTTAATATTAGGTACTATCCAGTGGAGAAGGGTTCAAAATGAAATCCAAATAATATTTTCATGGCAGAGCTCATTCCTTGAATTACACACCGTATACTTGATGTAGATAAAACTCAAGAAAATGCCCCATGTATCATGATCACAACTCAGGGTATGTCTACACTACCTCGCTAGTTCGAACTAGGAGGGTAATGTAGGCATACCGCACTTGCAAATGAAGCCCGGGATATGAATTTCCCGGGCCTCATTTGCATAAGCGGGGAGCCGCCATTTTTAAATCCCCACTGGTTCGAACCCCATGCAGCGCGGCTACACGGGGCTCGAACTAGGTAGTTCGGACGACGGTGCCTATTCCGAACTACCGGTACACCTCATTTCACGAGGAGTAACGGTAGTTCGGAATAGGAACCTAGTCCAAACTACCTA